TCTGGAGTTGAGGCTCGGTAGTGAGTTTGGACTTGCTTCCAATGTTCGCTTTGGGTGCTCTACTGTTCCGAGCTGCTTGCCTTTGCCACGCGTCGGGCGATCGCGAGGTCGGGCCAAATTTCCCTTCATCAGGGGGTATCAACGGTATTTGAAAATCCAATTCTGAATTCAAGATTCAACATAATCAAATTGAATTCAAATAAATCAAATATCATAATTAGTCGAATTCGAATATCTTATTCTATCCATACCATTTAAGTAATTGAGTCTAATTTAGATATAAACAGATTTGATTGAATAAATATCTGAATTTAACCAATTATTTAATTCTTATTATAATATACAAAATATTTAAATAATTGATATAATTTTTATATATAAATAATTTATATATTTTATATAAATAAAATATTTATTTTACATATTTCTTAATTACCTAAAATAATTAATCGGTTGAATTTGAAAGGAGTTAAACATGTGAACATTTTAATCAAATTGGAATTAAAACCTTGATTCTAATATAGCTTTATTAGATTCGAATTCCATACGTTTACATCCCTGACGTGAAGGTCACCTATTAATATTATGGCACATGTAGGACCCAATTGAAACCACACGAACATTCAAGATGTAAGATGTTGTGAGATTCGATGAAGACGCAAGGTTTACAAAGAAAAACAATTTTCTCCTAAATCAAATCACCCATCCAAATACTAATTGCAAACTGCAGCATTTATAATCGTATTCTCTCGTTTGAGCTTGAGGTCTCTCTTTCACTCTCCCCTCTTATTGGATGCCGAAATCTGCGGTTCCTTCTGTTCGTTGGTATGGTTGGGGTCGCCACTCGCCACCTGAGACCTCACCTCTAATAGGTAGGTATTGTTTGGCTACAGCTCCACCGCACCCCTTTCTCATTTCTCCTCTTCTGCTTTGGGAATCCTATAGTTCAATCGGTTCTGCATCGCCCCAGATTGATCATACTTCGGACTCGGAGGCGTATTTCGCTCAGATCTGTATAATTATCGTACCCATTTCATAGCTGGATTGAAATCGAACAACCTCCCAGTTTGTAGTGGTTCCGGTCCCTCTATTCCCTCCCAAACCTTCCATGGTGAAATCCCCAATTATCTGGTCTCCAACCGGAGAGACACCCTCCATTCGCGAGTCCCTTCCAATTTCATCAAGAAATCCGCACAAACAATAATAGTAAGGATAGAAGAACTTGGACCCCTCATCCCTCTCTCTCTCTGTAATTGATCCCTTACTCTCTCTCATGGCTAATAAATGTTTCAGCTTCACCGCATCAAGGGACTGGTGCTACCGTTACGCCTTCGCTAGCACTGGGCTTCGATCGGCCACGACCGACCTCGGCGATGGCACTGTCGTACATTGTTGGGTCCCCAAGACGCACAAACAGAACAAACCAACTCTGCTCCTACTCCATGGATTTGGAGCCAACGCAATGTGGCAATGGGGCGATATCCTCCGCAGCTTCGTCTCCCGCTTCAATATTTACGTCCCCGACCTCCTCTTCTTCGGTGACTCGTTCACCACTCGCCCCGAGCGGTCCGAGTCGTTCCAGGCCCAGTGCATGATGAGAATGATGGCGGCCCACGGGGTGCAAAAGATGATCTTGATTGGGCTAAGCTACGGCGGGTTCGTCGGGTACGGCATGGCGGCGCAGTTCCCGGAGGCGGTGGAGAAGGTGGTGATATGTTGCTCCGGGGTGTGCCTGGAGGAGAAGGATATGTCGGAGGGCTTGTTCATCGTCTCCAACTTGGACGATGTCTTCAGCGTTTTGCTGCCGCAGACGCCGGAGAAGCTTAGAGAGCTCATGCGGTTATCGTTCGTCAAGCCGGCCAAGATCGTTCCTTCTTGCTTCCTTCGCGATTTCATCGACGTGAGTAGCAACTAACACCAACTTTCCTCACTCATTCCTTATTGCGCAGATAGAGATGTTTGGTTCGGTGATTTTCATGATCAGATAAAATTTGATGCTCCTGTTTGAGCAGGTTATGTGTACAGAATATGTTGAAGAGAAAAAGGAGTTGATCCATGCTTTACTCAAAGACAGGAAGCTTTCTGATCTTCCCAAAATCTCTCAGGTTAATTTTCGTTTTGTGATGGCATATTTTATATTTATTGTTCTAGTTGTGTGAAATGGGTAAATCTATATTCTTCTAATTCTTCTCCATTCCCATGGATGCAGCCAACGTTAATAATCTGGGGAGAGCAAGATCAGGTATTCCCATTGGTGTTGGGACACAGATTGAAAAGGTAGTTAGTTATCTGGAACTGGAAGCAGTTTATTGTCTTTCCTTAATTTATGCCTTAGATTTGATTCTATCTTCTTTAATTAATATATATATATATATATATATGCATATATTGATGGAGCAGAGATTTCGTTTTAACTATTTACAGTTATCTTGGGGAGAATGCTCAGCTAGTAGTGATAAAGAATGCGGGGCATGCTGTCAACTTTGAGAAGCCCAAGGAGATATACAAGCACTTGAAACCCTTCCTTTTTGATTCTCCTCCTCCTTCTCCTCCATCACAGCATCCTCCTTCAAAGTTTCTTGAAAACAAAGTAGATTGATGAACTGGTTTAATCTGATACGTACTACATTGTTAAACTAATATCATGGCTATATGGAAGCTGCTGGTGGCCTGGTGGGACTCTTAGAAAAGGCAGGCAGAGGAAGGTTTAGTCCAAATGTGCAACAAATTAATTAAGGATCCATATTGGTGATGATGAGTATGTATAATTGATTGATAACATAAATGCATATTGTACAATAGATCGATTGATTCATTGATTGATATTGTTTTGTTTCCTTAAACTACAAGCTAGAACAAAATGTAGTAATTACTCTATATATATTGCTAATTCTTTGTTTGAACTTTGTGGTGGGATGGTTGGAATCATCTAATTGGGGGTGGTGGGTCAATTATATATCCGGAGAGGTTACCCTACTGGAGTTTGTGATATGATCCACTAAACATTTGCTTAATGTGCCGGCGGTCATTGGATATTGGGATTTAAGCTAACTGCTGGTGAATAAGTAGTATAACTAAACAATGGGTTGACACTCGAAAGTGAAAACTCTTATCCATTAATTCCAATGAAAGGGGGAATATGTGGGAATTGAAATTCTTTACCCTCAATCACTACAGTTAAAGAGAATGAACTTGTGAATATAGAAACAGAATTGTTACTTTTGGAGGATTAAACCCAGAAATGACCTCGGATTTGGATTGAGAACATTCACAAGGTTCAGGAAATAGTAAAGGCATAAGAATTAAGAAAGCATGTCAGAATTATGGTGGAGTAATTTAAATTTATGCATCACTAAACCAAGCAGAGCCCCTTGAGAACGTGATCCAGGCAAAGGGCACGCTCATAAATTTTAGGGTAAATTTCTTAAATTATCCTTATGGTTTAGTTAATTGACTAAATATACCCTTACTGTTTGAAAATTGACTAACGATATCCCTACTGTTTCTGACAATTGACTAATACTTTCCTTATTGTTAGCGTGTGTTAACAGAAAGATAAAAAGACTATTTTACCCTTTACTCTTCTTCAAATTTTCAAAATAAAACAGGGAAAAAAGGATCATCAAAACATTAACATTTCAAACCCAAAACCTTCAATTGTCCTCCTCTTCAAGAAATTTACCCTATAAGACTTGAATCACCTGAAGTTTTGTCAGTGAAGGTTGAAGAGGGATGCACCTGTGTCCAATTTTTCTTCCGTCCCCCTCTGAACCCGTTGGGCAAGAGCACTGGTAACTCCCAACCGTATTTGTGCAAATCGCTGATGGTGCAGTTATTCATGGTTCAATCCATGCATTCATATATGTCTGCAAGTGGTTTACTATTTGCACCTCTACAACTCAGGTTGCAACTCTTCACAAGATAACTGTTGTAACTCTTTAGGTGAGATGGTTATTTGAGTCCTATTTACTGTTTTTTTTTTCCTGCAAGAAAACAACCCATTTAGGAAGAAATTAGTGTTTTGATTTTTAGAATTTTAATGAGAGAATAGAGCTGGATGGATCTAGCTCTATTCTCCATTATCCATTAAAGGTCCTCCTAGGATTCCATTAAACACGATTCCTTTTTTTGTGTAAGGAGAATAAAATTTACATCCATCCAACAGAATTCCTTCTCCATTCTCCCCTGTTTCTGGATTCCGTGAATCCTAGCTGTTGGAATCCCATTAAATATCATTCCTTCTCCATTATCCCCTGTTTTTTATATTAAAACTAAATAAAAAATATTTAACCGTTTTAAGAAGAAAATAAGAGAAGAGGTTAACAAATTCCAGATTACAATCTTCCACCTTCGTTACGAAAAGGTTCTCCTTGGATTCATGGAATCCATTTACATCCATCCAGCTTTCATCCAATGGGATCCCAACACCGGCTGCTGTGATTAGGCCTTTGTCAAGTACAATGCCAATACCAACCGCATCACCCAACTGTTTATCGTTGTAACCGCCATCGTCGTGTTAGACAATTATGCCCTTAACTCCAATCAGATTGATGTATTTATTGACATTTATTGTAAATGAATAAAGTGCATAATTGATTCATGTTATTTTGATTTGTTTCTGTGTAATACCCTTAAACTAGACACTAATGAGATTCGTGTTAATTTAGAATCTTCACAGCCGTTAGATAGATTTGGGGAGATTTATCCTGCCAAGGATGACATTAATGTGCTGTCGAGAAGGTTGGGGTGGCTTGTCTCAGCTGTCAGGGTAAGACCCAAAGCACATGCAGTGTGGGTGGCTTATCTTAGCTGCCCACATTCCTTAGGTCTTCATAAGGTGTCTGGACTCAAGGACCATTTAGTGTAAATGTTAGGCCCATTAAGATCCCATACTGATGGACTCAGAGGTTCACTATGTTCTGCAGTGTATTTGGCCAAGCCTTGTAATAAAGGCTGGGCTGAACCCATATGGCTGATGTGTAGATCAATACTAGGGTCCCATGCCATACAAAGAGAGCCAAGCTAGCCAGCATTTAAAGAGAAAGTGAGCTATGTAACTAAATGGGCCTAAAGCCCATTTCGAACTGGGCTTAAGTGAATTAATTAAAAAGGGGTGAATTCTAGTTTATAATCTGATTAGGATTAGCTAAAGGATAAGATAAGTCTTATCCATTTAAGAGTCCAGATCCAAATATCGGATTTGGATCAAGAAACTCTTTCCTAATTGGATTAGAAAACTTATCCAAATAAGGTTATAAATAAGGGGTGAATTCACCAGTTTCATACACTCAACAATCTGTAGAATTCTCCTCCAGTCCTTTCTGCCCCAACCCAGCTTGATTTCCACCTTTGGATCTGATCAAGAATAGTTCTTGATATTTTTTCTTACTAGAAGAAACAATCTAAAGTCGTGCTCACCAACCCCTTGTGTGATTCTTGCTGAAGAACCACTTTGCTGATTTGCTTCACCATAAGCTGTGTCATTTTCAGTGGATGCGGGTTTTGGTCACCTCTTTGGGTGTGAACACCTATGTTGGGAGTTACTGTTATTCTGTATCAGGTATATCCCTATTTGCTTCCTTTTGGTTTCAAATCTAGTCCGATTTATTTCAAGAACGAACATTGAAAAATGTAGTTTTTCTAAATCAGGGAATAGGATTCCCGGATGGGAGAAAAAAATTTTTGAAATTTCACCCAGCCACCCTGCATGGTTCAGCCATCCATATGATGGATCTCCCATCCCTTCACATCGGCCCCATCTCGGCTGGCATTGGAGACCTCTACCATGGCATCATTCACCATAGTTTTTGCTCCTTGGACGGGGAGAGTATTTGCTGCAATTGCGGCGAAGAGATTTGGGAGAAGCGGAGAGGAGAAAGGGCTTATGGATTGGATCTTTGGGGGTATACAAAAGGAAGACCAGCTGCTTGAGACCGACCCCATCCTAAAGAAGGTCGAAGAAAAGAACAGTGACACCACGAGTTCGGGGCGGAGGGGATCTGTTGTAGTTCCACCCAAGAAGTCCGACATGTTTGGAGGAAAAAAAGAGGAGAGAGAGAAAGAGGGGTGGGAAGTGGAGGGTAAAATTGGGTTTTTTAATATATATATATATATATATATATATATATATATATCACGTACAAATGAGTTTTGATGGAATATTAACGGGCCTTAACGATAAGGGTAAAGTTAGTCAATTATCAAAAACAATAGAAGTAGCATTAGTCAATTTTCAAACAGTAAGTGTACATTTAATCAATTAGCTAAACCATAAAGGTAGTTTAAGAAATTTACCCTAAGTTTTAAGTGTGGCCCTAAAGTTACATCTTTTAATTGCCCCCGCTAATGAAGGATGACCATTTTACCATTACTGCCAGCGTCCATTTTTACTTGACCAAACAAATTTGGTAAGGCTTACCTCTAATTAGGATTGGTGGTGAGTACAAGGGCACATGGCAATTAATATGGAGTGCTCGATTTGTGGTAAGCACCAAGTAAGTTTGGCTAATAATTAATGGATCCTATTCTTCCTACGTCGAATGAAAATGATAAGGATTTCTCTTCTCCTTACATCCGACTCACAAACGAAAATAAAATCACTAAAACTAAGACCCCTATCACCTCCTGCCGAAAAGAGCTTTATGAGTTAACCAGTTTACCGATATGCATGCTTGAATTTGATATTTAAGTTGAAGAAGTTCATTAGGTTTCGACATTCTTTGATGACACTTTCCAATCTCAACGGAGGCACAAGTCTACCATTGAGGGAGTCGATAACTAGCTTAGAGTCACCTTCAATGACGATTCTCTGATCCCTATAGTTGATAGCCATATTAATGACTTCCCAAGCTGCCTAAGCTTCAACAAGATTGATAGTTGAAATTCCATTTAGAAAGGGAATATATTTGGTGAATGGGATTTTGATTCGGATTGATCAAGATATTTTTTGGATTTTTAAAGAATGTCCATTTTACCATTCAAATTAATCAAAAAAATTATTTTCTCTCTCTTTCTCTCTAGGTGGGTTTAATAACCTTCCTACATGGGAAAAGTTGTCAATATTTGGACAGGATAAAATTATTCCTTTTAATAATGACTTTTTATGGATAAAATGGTCATTGTCTTATTTACTTGAGAAACAAAAAAAAAATGGATAAATGCACTTACCTAGATAAGGTTGCATTTGTTTGCAATGTAAACACCAGATTGGTATACTAGCAATCCGGTCCGGTTATGCCCGCATTTGTTTGCGGTGTTTTTGTACATCACATAAGAGGGTAAAAGTATATTCAGTGTGAGATTTACATCGAGATTTGATAGTAAAAAGACCATTGATAAAATCAATGTTGTTTAGGCATGACCAACTTTGGTAGCCCATAAGCTCGCAAGAGGGATATATGGAGTATAATCTCTTTTCTTTTATTAAGTAATCTTGTTTAATTATAAAAAAAAAATCACAAGAGGGATGACAATTTCTACCCATCTAGTCCTAATGGGGCTTGTTTTTTCATGTAAAAATGGATTTTGGGGCAACATAAGTTTTAGGTGTTAAATTTAATAATATTTAAATTTTATGTGAAAGATAATTGATAATTTATCTATTTTTATATAGATAAAAATAAATCCACATTTTTTTTACATTTTTTTAGTAAATGGGAAGGGGCTACACAAGACCGGGGGAGGGGGGGATAGCATGTCCACAAGCATCACAAAAACAAATAAACATCAAGGCTTTAGGAAGCTCATTAACAAAAACAAAATTAAAAAAAAAAAAAAAAATCAATCATTGACCACCTCATGAGTTAACCACTTCACCACTTGAG